CACCACCCCCCCCCCCCCCCCCCCCCACACACACAAAAAATAATCATATAGCAATACTTAGGTGGCTGTTGTAGACCACTCCATTGGGCTCGGGTGAATTCTATCAAATACTTATCAAAATTTGTTAAAAAACAAGGATTATTAAAATAAGTTCCTTGAGAGTCCTCACCGCTCCGCCCCCAAAGTATCGTGAGAGAGATAAATCGCGGGATGTGTCCCAATAAACCAGGGAACATGAGTTTGCCCGTACACTGGTACTCACAAAGAGTCCAATTCCATATTTCAGGAATCGAACCCTCACACTGAAATTGTCAGTAAGGTTGAGACTACCTCACTCCCATTCTTTGCACCACTGGGTTATGCCCCAGGTGCGGTTGAACTCCAACCTTGAAGGTCCTCATCGCCCAGCCCCTAGAGCATCTTGAGGGGGTAAAACGCGGGATGTGTCATAGCAGGACGGGGAACAAGAGCTCGCTAGTATATTGGTGCCTACAAAGAGTCCAATTCCGTATATCGGAAATCGAACCCTCACACTGTGGCTGCCAGCAAGGCTGAAACTACCTCACTTCTATTCTTTGTACCATTGGGATTTGCCCCGGGAGCCCATTAAGTTTACTTTTGATATTAGCCAATCATGCAGTAGACAACTCTTGATAACCCATAGTATAATTGGTGGACCAAATCTACTGTGATAGGAGTTTATTAGGGAAATTCCTAATTGGGAGATTATTTAAACTAACTAATCCCCCCTTGGCACTTGTTTGCGAGGAACCTAGAAATTATGAAAATAGAGACCAAGTTTGAGACAGCACACAGTCTCCCACATGTAGCATGTGGATTTAACATCAGTCAAATGTCTAAAAAACTAAATCCAAGAAAATTACTTTGTTCTAACTAGGTAAAATATTAATTAACTTGGAGTTGCAAAAACCTAGGATGGCGTGAGGTGGAGTGGGGGATAAGCTAGGCTATAGGACTAGGTGCTTTGAATGGCCAAACAAGATCCTACATGAATGTAATTTTAAGTACTTTTTGAGTGAAGGATTCTTCAAAGCACAAAAAAAGCAAAACTTAGGCATAATCTTATGTTGTAATGGAATGATCCTAACAAAAATCCCTTAATTTGGGACTATTGCCTTTGGGTCCGAAGACAAAAGTCCAGTTTGACCCAAAAAACATAACCCGAAAAACTTAAAATTGCTTTACAAATAAACATATTGCTCTTTTATTTAGGTACACACATGACACGTTCGACGATAACGTACATAGATCAATAAAAATTAGTTACTATTAAGAAAGAAATATAAATTAAAATCATATTTTGCCTTCGTTTGGTAGAAATTAAAACTCAGTTTTTAATCTAAGTTAAAGTCGATAATTACTTTTAACCACATATATTATGGAATTTATAATTTCTCAACCACTTATTTCATCAATTTTTATCAAAATTTACTAAAAAATTGATTTTAATTTCCACAAAAAAGGGACTTATTGTACTACTAACGAGTCTAAGAACGATTTGTTGTACCGATGTGAAGTGCCATCCTAGTTAAACTCCCTAAGCCATTTCTAGACCCAAAATCTACATCGAAGGCAAGACCATTCCACGCACGAGTTCCATTTACCGAAACCCAATAAAGCAAATAAAACAAGTAATCCAGACTGGAAAACAATGATTTTTTACTTACGAAAATTGCTCATATAAATTCGCGAAATTATGTGAGCTAACGACCAAAATTTTCCTCTCTCCGCCTTGAAAAACAAGGTAAGAGAGCAATTGCCAAGCCAAAACTCTCCAATCCATAAATAACATTTCTTGAACTCTACTTTCAATTGCTTTTTCTGATTTCTTCCTCTACTAACAAGACCAAATTCATTTGAAATGATAGGTACCCTGATTGGTTTTTAGATCAGAAACTTTGCTGACCGCGGGCAGTCTTGAAATCAAAAGAAAATGACTCCGGGCAGTCCCATGCCACAGTTTTTGCTCTTCGGCAAAGTACCTCGAGAAAACACACAATTCTGCCTGCATTTTCCCTTTATTCTCTTCAAAATTCGATGCTTTTGCCCTGTATTCAAAACGAGGTTTTAAGGAGAGAACACTTTCTTTTTCCCTTAAAACAAAAGTCATATTTCTATATTTTGTTACTGGTGAATTGGTACTCACATTCTACATTGTCCTGTTTCTACATTCAGAATCTATTAGTCTTGTTTCTTTTTCAAAGAACAAAATTTCCAACTGGGCTTTTGTGGATTTGACTTGTTCGTAAAAACCCAGAAATCAGAATAACAAGAAACTTTAATTTTCTTCCATCCCCTTGTGTCTTCTCTTCATTACCTGAAATACCCAGAAGGTATTTTCCTACCTTTTTTTCCTACTACAGAGAGAGATCAAGAAATTTATGGGTTGTTGTTCGTACATGAATTAGTGAAACAATGAGAAATGAGAGCTCCAAGAGAAGTAAGGTCGGTAAAAAAAAATGAAAGTGCATTAATGAATTTTCCTGCTTTCAAGATTTCTGATTTTTGGTGTTTATTGATGAAGCTTTTTTGGCCTAAAACACTGGTGAAGAAATGGTTCAACGTCAAGAGCAAATCCCAGGACTTCCATGCTGATGACATAATTTTTGGAAGTAATTAATGTTATCTCATTCATCTCTTTAAATAAAAAAAAAAAAAACTGAATCTTTTGCTTCTGCATTAATTATTATGATTTAGAATGAGATAGAGATTAAGCAATTATTGTTGCCTTTTTGACTTAATCTGGATCAACTTTTTCCTCTCTTGCACTGGAAACTGGATTATAACAGGTCCTGCCATTCTCAATGTGCTGAGATCTCTTTGTTTTTGTTATATTTTATTTTTCCCTCTGAAATTCTCAAGATTTTCATTTTTATCGGTAAGAAGTATATTATGTTTGATTATTTTGTGTTTGTCAGAAGATGGGTGTTCTGTTGTTAACAGTGTATTATACAGCCTTAGCAAGTTTAAATTTTTTCTTTTTCAGGTGTTGATGAAGAATGGAAGACCAAATTCTCTGAGAGGGAGGCATACACTATCAAGAAAAGTAGAACAGGTTATTTTTTGGACCACACAACATTATTAGCTATTATTATCAATAAAAACTTCAAAAATGAAATTTTTTTCTTGTCTTTTTTCCTGATTTTATAAATTTTTCTAATGATAGTTCCTTTTCCACTATTGCATTGACAGATAAATCGAGTAAACGGTTTTCTGATGATGCCCGACGAAGTAAGATTGACCTCGATGCCTCCCAAATTACAGATGTACAAAACTATAAGTGTGTTCTTCTAGCCTCTTGCTATTTCATTAATTCATTTTTCACAATGTAAGAGCGGGTTTTTACCACTTTTTCATAATTCTTATTGGAATAGGATCTTTGTGGCAACTTGGAACGTTGCTGGAAAATCTCCACCCAGCAATTTGAATCTTGAAGAGTGGCTACATAATTCACCTGCAGCTGATATTTATGTTCTTGGGTTTGTAAATTTGTCATTAGTTACAAATTTTAGCCTTTTTGTTGATTGTAGAGTAAAGGGATGATTAATGGAAGTCTCTTTATATTATCACTTCTAGGTTTCAAGAAATTGTTCCTTTAAATGCCGGTAATGTTCTGGGAGCAGAAGACAATGGTCCAGCTAGAAAATGGTTAGCACTTATTAGGAAAACTTTGAACAGTGTTCCAGGCAACAATGGTGGCTGTCATATGCCTTCACCAGTTCCTGATCCAATAGTTGAAATAGACGCCGACTTTGAAGGAACAAATAGAGAAAAAGCTTCCTCTTTCTTCGAATGTCGTTCATTTCAGTCATTGAGCCGTAGTATGAGAATGATGGATAGTGACATGTCAATTACACAGCCTAGTCTAGATCGTCGATTTAGTGTTTGCGATAGGGTCATGTTTGGAGATAGACGGACTGAATATGATCCCAATGTCAGATGGGATGGTTCATCTGATGATGAAAATGGGCTGTTCGATTCACCTTATATCATGCAGTACTCTCCAATTTCCTATGGTGTTTCTGGCCTGATGGAGGAAAGGGACAGACAATCCGGGCAGTCTAGGTATTGTTTGGTTGCAAGCAAGCAGATGGTTGGGATTTTTCTCACAGTATGGATAAAGAGTGATATGAGAGATTCTGTTCAAAATCTAAAGGTTTCTTGTGTTGGCAGAGGATTGATGGGTTATCTCGGAAATAAGGTATTCTTTCAACTTATTTGGAAACTGTGTAAATTGAATCCCTCCATAGCTAAACCAATGAAATCTCTTTTTAATAACTTTTCCAGGGTTCAATTTCAGTTAGCATGTCTTTGCACCAAACGAGCTTCTGCTTCATCTGTAGTCATCTAACCTCTGGAGAGAAGGATGGTGATGAGTTGAGGAGGAATTCCGATGTCATGGAAATTTTGAGGAAAACAAGGTTTCCACAAGTTCATGGAATAGGGGATGAGACCTCCCCCCAAACAATCCTTGAACATGAGTAAGTTCCTCATCCTTAACTCGTCATGACCATTCAATATTTTCTTTGGCTTTCGTTTGTGCTATGCCAGTGTGTTTCACATTTTTGCAATATGAGGAAGTGCCCTTTCTATAGAAACATTAATTTATATGGTGAAATCTAGAATAATGAGGTTCAAAGTCTAAATCATCTTTGTGTTTTCTAGTCGAATTATATGGCTTGGGGATTTGAATTATCGAATAGCCCTCTCATATCGATGTGCAAAAGCTCTTGTCGAGATGCATAACTGGAGAGCTTTGTTAGAAAATGACCAGGCAAGTAAATGGAATTCCCTTAAAAGAGCTTCAATTTTATTGTCATATTATGTGGACTTTGACAAGTATATGGATTGCTCTATTTACACCATTGGTCATTTTATCAACAGCTTCGGATAGAGCAAAGACAGGGGCGTGTGTTTGCCGGATGGAATGAAGGAAGAATATACTTCCCACCGACTTACAAGTATTCAAATAATTCCAACAGATATGCTGGGGAGAATATGCACCCCAAAGAGAAACGTAGAACACCTGCATGGTAATACTTCTTTTTAGAAGAAATATAGGCAAGCAAATATGTCTACATATGGTGAATTCTATAGATAAATAAAGGAATTTAGGCCAGACTACCTATATTACATGTATCTACAAACAGACTTCGAGCAAATAATTCCAACAGATATGCTGGGGAGAATATGCACCCCAAAGAGAAACGTAGAACACCTGCATGGTAATACTTCTTTTTAGAAGAACTGCTAGCAAGCATAATATGTCTACATATGGTGACTTCTATAGATAAATAAAGGAATTTAGGCCAGGCTGCCTATATTACATGTATCTACAAACAGCCTTCGAGACAGCCAATTATGAACATGCACTTATTATCTTAAGTGGATCTTTTGGATACACTACTAATACTGTGTTTTCATGGATAAAGGTGTGATAGAATATTATGGCATGGTCAAGGCCTCCGTCAACTATCGTACGTCAGAGGAGAGTCTAGATTCTCAGATCATAGACCAGTTTATGCTATATTTTCGGCAGAAGTTGAGTCTATTAATCGTAGCCGATTCAAGAGAAGTACGAGTTATTCCAGCTCTAGGATTGAGGTTGAAGAGATACTGCCTTGCTCCCATGGATATGGTGAACTAAATTTCTACTGAAGAATGCATCCAAATTTAAGTACTTGAAAGTCAGACATTATCAACAAATATTAGAAAAGAGACTGCTAAGCAAGTAAGTTTTCTTAAACGAATGCACAACTCAACTTGCATATGTTTCTTGAACTTTCTTTATCTGTACACACACACACAAAAACTAGATGTTTACAGTTTTTACTTACTGATTGATGCATGTTTTATACAGATAGGACATCGCGATAATCATCGCCGTTAACATCTTTGTCTTTGGTTCGATCAGAATTATCCTTCAACAATTCAGGTGATTTACAATTTCTATTTGTCTCAAAATTTCTCCATTTTTTCTCCCTAGAGTTCCAAAGTGATTGATATCTTTGTCATTTGCAATGTTTTCTGCATTTTGCTGTCAACCTGAGAATTTGATGCCTACTGAATACATTCAACAATTAACTTTTGCAATTTATTCTCTTCTCTTAACAAAAATCTCGGTGAAAATCTTTACTCATCATATCTTGTTTAATAATGGTTCTATATTTCCAGACGAGCCACGAACACGATGCCTTATCTGTGACAAAGACGTTAATTTTTTTATTTGATGGAAGGTAAGTATTGGCATCATCATTTCTCCCGTTTCCTGACAATCCTCCATTTTCTAATTCTTGTCAGGTAAGAAACTTCACAAATAGTTGCTAACAGCACTGCCCTTCCACTCAGTTCTTTCGTCAGCAACTTTTCACCATGTACATTGTAAATTTGGCATCAAGAACAAGAGTTTTAAGATCAAACTGAATAATTAGGTAAGAAATGATAATTCTCCTTTTTCTATCACACCCATTTTAACTACCGAAACACGAATAAAAATAATTCCCTTCATGTTTTTTTCAGGATGCTTCTGTAGTGATAGAAAACAAATGACTTGGTCGAATATACTCGAGGATTTCAGAGGACCCTGTAAAAAGTCGAAAAATACTTTTTACTGATTACGATATTCTGTCATGTTCCCATTACGACAGGGAAGAGCAGGGACATGGGCGGATAGGCGTTTCAAGTTGCTAGTGAAGAAAGGAAAAGTTAAAAAACATACAATGATACTAAGATTCCAGTCCTGTAGCAATCAATGAATAAATACTGAAAAGTTGAGCATTTTACTGAAAAGATAAAGGCATTTCTTTGATGGTCACTGCTGTTTTATTCTTCTTTTTATGTTAAGTGTGTAAATTCTGCAAGCTTTGGCAGTGTCTATTGCAGCTGTTTGCTTATAGCTAGGTTTCCCTTAATGGAAGGGATACACATACACACACAATTGGAAGTGTGGAACTTGAAAAAATATGAAATGTAAGTTTCAACTACTATGTCTAGTAAAGTGTGAATTAGACGGTACTCGACAATATTATAAAAAGGAATAAGGAAAAAGAAATTAAGATTTCATTAATCATAGTGTCTCATATGCTCGTATTATCTTGTATTAGCATGTTTGAACGTTGTTTACAAATAGTTTAAATTATAAATAGATAGAATTTGAGTAATGGATAAGTATGTGGTACCTGTGAATTTCACGAAATATGAAAAAATAATAATAATAAATTTGATTGATTAATCGTCAATGGACAGCAGCAAACACATGGGATATGAACGTAAAGAATTAAAACGGAGTGTTTTCTCTACTTTCACACATGGGATCTGCGAATCTTTTTATATGTAGATCGATTCTCGAATATAGTTTTTAATGTAAGTTTCATAATTGAATGATAATATGAGAATAATAATTCAGTTTAGCATTGTTACACGTTTTGTTATTTTGATACTATAATAAACTGTCTTGTTCAAAATTTGAGTGTTTTGTGATCGACACGGAACAAACTTGTGTATATGGAAAAGAAAATGCAGAACTAGGAATAGAGTGATGTGGTGCATTTGTGACAGAAATCTAAGGAATACTTAGAGTGAATTGGGTGGCAATGAATTTGAAACACACAAAACAAAAATAATCAGCTTTGTTTTATAAACAGATGGCCAAATTGTTTGGATGTTACCAAATTCCATGTTTTGGGAGAATGAGAATCTGACAAAGCCTGTTTGGATGTGACATTTGGAATTTTCACTTTTTTCTCTACGCCATTTTTTTAAACATCGGAAATTGTGCATTTTTATGCTTCTCTTTTGCCTTTAAACTAGTGTAAAAATCAATGTATTAAAAACTTCTTGGAGTCAAATGAGTAGTAAGAAAATTAATCAAATATCACTTGTACCAACAAGCAACAAGGATTATATCATGTTGTTTAAAATCCTAGTTATACAAACTCTCATCCTATCCGCCAACCTTCTCAAGGCAAACTCATGTTTTACCGAAAAACACGAGGTCTCTTTTTTCAACGGATTCCCTCAAGGTTCCAGTTCAATGAAGATGCATTGTGCATCTGGAAATGACGATATGGGATATCGTACACTAAAAGTAAACCAAGTTTTTAATTGGAGTTTTTTGTGATAATTTATTTGTCCCAAATACATTGTTTTTCTGTCACCTTTGGTGGGATTCAAAGAATAGAGCTTCGATGTTTACGATACCAAATGGCATGTTGATTGTCCAGGTCGTGTCCATCTTTGGGTAGCAAAGAGCGATAACATCTATTTTAAGGCGCGTTCTAAAAAATTGGAAAAGCAGTATGATTGGCAGTAAGAATTATGTCGTGAATTCCTACGAATAAGCAAGTATATAAATTCTATCGTTATTTACTTGAGTAAAAAAAAAAAAGAGGCGTAAGTAAATTAATTTTTAAAATGCAGAATTCGATTTTTAATTGTTTCAAACTTCCTAGTTTTTACCGGATCTATTTGGGCTTCATTTTTGAAAAAAATACATTTTTTATTTCTTATTTTCAACCACATTTTTCAATAAAATAATATTACACATAAATCAAAAATATTTTCTTATATTTTAATCACTCATTCTCCGAAAAATTCAATATTCCAAAATACATGTTTCTATAAAATCTATTTTTAATGGAGCTCAACCAGGTTTTGTTCTCTCTTTTTCTCATCAATAAAATGTTCAAGATTATCTAAGTTTTGCAAGTGGGAGTTCAAGATAGTTAATCACAAATTTTTGTTTCAAAGTAGATAATTTGTTTGGATATTTTTGGATTGGTACGGTTTACTTGAGTGAGATGAAAAATTGCTCCTAAAGAAGTGAATTGATTTTATTCTAAGGCCATGTTTGATAGCATTATATTTTCCATGAAAAATGGAATTCAAATTCCAACTTCAAATTTTTTGTTGTTTGATAACATATTTTTTCCATGAAATTTGGTTTTCTTGGTTTTTTTGGAAATTGGTATTTTCTTGGTTTTCAAGAAAAACCAATATGGTTGGAATTGGTTTTCTAGGCTACTGTTTACTTTTTTTTTTAATTAATTTTTTTGGCAATTGAAACAAATTATATCCCGAATTGTAAAAAAATATTTTCCTTTAAATGACAATTTCCAAGTAAAACAAAGTCAAATGAATATCAAAAGATATATGATTTTCTTTGCTCTTTTTTTTTTTTTTTTGGCAATGGAAACAAATTTTATTCCCAATACCAATTAAAACTATCCCTTTAATCGACAATTTTCATGTAAAACAAAGTCAAATGAACACCAAAAAATATTTTTATTTCAGTATTTTTCACGTGAAAAATTATACTAATCAAACACAATAATTTACAATTTTCAGTAAAATAATTTCTAAGCAATTCAATTAACTAGAATTCCTTTTTTTTTTTTTCACCCAAATTTCATCTTTACAATCAAACGGAAGATTTTTCCTACATCTGGATATAATTTATAAATAAATTGAGCTCAAATCCAAACATTTCTGTCAATCATGCATTTATAACTACTACTTATTATCATTCATATAATTTGTGGTGACCCACTGCTATTACTATTTGACATTTAAATTGGGTTTTGAGGGGCATTGAAAGCAAATTTTCCATTAGGATTGAATTGGATATAAATTTATTTAAGAGAAAATTTTCTTTATATATAGATTTTACACTTTATTATTTTTCATTTGGATTAATTTGAAATAAATCACAAAGAGGTCATAAATTAGTCCCCCCACACACAAGTATGTTTAAAGCAAGTTTCGACTAAGCCTTTGCCTTGTGTGATATAATTCATTGTAAAGGAAAAAGAGTTATTCTAAAACCCATTGCATTGTGAAACGGATCGTTTGATAAGACTAATAGTCGAGAACAAGAGTTACAAATATTATCTCGAGCGTGGTGAGCTTGTTCTTTAAGCGACATTAAACTTTTTATTGAAAGTTCACAAGAACTTATTGGGGAAATGTTTTTAAGTTAACAAGGCCATATGCAATAGCAAAACGAACTTGGAAAACCGGGTGAGCTTCTACATTCTGCCTTTACGACAGGACCGTGGCGCGCTTGACACTCGATCCAGCAGGCTTGATCAACTTTGCTTCTATCGCAAAAGGTTTGCACCCAAGGAAGACCTTCAGAACAATCGTCTGCATCAACCGTGGGGATCATTTTCTCCACTACACAAATTGAACAACAAAATTCCATTAGGCATAAAGAAGTTCAAATTAATCATTTATATTGACTGCCATTCTCTAATTTTATCCGATCAAGCGTACTAAACATGTTATTAGAGTATAGAAATGTCGCTTCTCATCCAATCTTTGAACCGTAGCAGGGATGGATCCAGGAATGGATCCAAGACCGAGCTATAAAATTTCAAACTGGACTACTACATGGAAAAAAAAAAAAAATGAATTTACCGTAGGAAAGCTATAAGAAAGATCAGAAGTCACCTGATATAAGGATGGTACAGCACAGGAAAGCTACAAGTATGTTTGAAACTGCCATTTTTCTTTGAATTTCTTTTAGGATTGAAGTTTATATGTGAGAATCTTACTTGCACAAGTCATCTTTTATAGGAGAAGGAAAATATAGATAAGTATTACGGATTATAACACATTAATTTAGTGGATGTATAAAGAGATTAATGAAATCTCTTCAAGTTTACGTAACTATATATATGATTTAGAAAAATTTGGGTTGAGCTCGCCAACATTTCATATGGTGTGGTTTTAGGTCCCCAAATCTTCAAAAGTGAGGTTCTGAATCCTCGACCTCAGTATATTTAGGAATTTGAGAATTCGTGTGAGCTAAACCATCAGTATAGGCACTTGACTTTCAGTTGAATTCAAGAGAAATGTTAAATTATTTTAAGTTTTACCCTCTAGCTTTAAGTTATATGTAAGTCACATGAGCTTTTTTGATCTAAACTGATGGTTTCGTGTGGTGGGAATTCAAAAATTTTTAGATTTAAATAAGTTGGAGATTCAGATTCTCACTTTTGAAAGTTGAGGACCATAGCCACTTCACGTAAAAGGTTATGGATCCTAGTCCTAATTTTTCTTTATGAATTAAAGGATAAATATCATTATTAAATTGGATGAAACAAGTATTAATGCTTCTAAAAGGTTGTACAAAGTCAACACTGAGTGGGACCCAAAGCTTACAAGAAAAATAAGAGCATTTGCAATGGACATGTTAATACAACTGTTAGTATCGTCGAATTAATCTCTCAAATGGATATATTAATGTGTTAGCTAAGAATATTTATTTTGTCAGAAGTTAACTAAGTCGCTATTTGCATTGAACAGTTTAGCTAACACACATGACATTTTATTATTTTTTTTACCTTTTTTTTTCCTTCTTCCAATCTCATAAATAATCGTTATCTCATTTATCACACGCGCTATAATTCTAATTTTACATGTCAACTTTTAATTAATCCACGTTAACTGACTTAAACACCATTAAGATACTAGATATAGATTTTCTAAAGTTTGTTTTCCTCCAAATTTATTTTCAACTCCATATTGTCTCAATTAAATTATTTTGTATGCGGATCCATATCGATTTCTTACTTTTTAACAATTCATTTCCAAAAATATCACTTTTCACAAAAATCTATTATGAAAAAATCACAATCAAATTCAAACGGTCCTATAAATTTATCTACCCCAACAATGGTCGGCGATTCCTCCATAAATTCTAGACAACTTCAAGTGTCTACTCTTTCCATCGCTTGTGCGTGTGTCTGTGTAAGTTTCTTTTTAACAGTAAACTAATTCTAAATATAATGATTTTTTTTTGTAAATGGTGTGTGCCCTTTTGTAAATGGGAAGAGAATAATTTGAACCAAAAGGAAAAATTCATTTTCTATCTATGATTTCTTTCCATGTTATATGCCAATGTCTTGTGATTGATTTTTTAGAGCATCTCTAACACATTAATTTCTAGTTGCATTTTGCATTAGACAGTCATTTAAAAATAAATCCAAACATTTTTATTACAAGAGAAATATGTATTCGTTTCCTTTATAAAGCTTACAGTTCTTACGATGGATTCCAGTCCACAAAAAGGGCAAAAGACAACACAAGAAGATCAGAATAACTTTAGGACCATGATCCCTACTAGCATAAGCAGAAGAGATGACGATGAAACAATAGGTGGATTTGAAGCTGAGTCGGGATTGAGAACTGGTCTGATCCCCGGATTTTCTGTTGGAGCTAATGAAACTTCCGGTGGAGCTGCCGGTATAATATCAAGTGGTGTTTCAGCTGGTGAAGGTGCCACCGCTGCTGCAGCCGCTTTGGAAGCTGAGCAAAGAAAATGAAAACATGGAGTTAGAAGTACAACGTTGTGAGGATACGTGAGTATAACATCAAATAATCCGATTTTGAGAATATTACCTTTTGGACTATGAGCACGAGGAGCATGAGAAACAGGTGCTTCAGTTGGCGTAAATAAGGCAGGACCTATGGTTGTTTGATTAAAAAACAAAAAATTACCAAGATTACATGTAAAAACAATTTAGGAAAACTAAAACAGCAAGCCTTGACGTGATATGCAGTAATGTCTGGACAAAATTTTTTAGCACTTCTTTCAGTTGAGTATGGAATATTAGAGTTAACCTGAAGGAGGTAAGGCAACGCCGGTGGCTGCAAAATATAAGAAAAATGAATTAATATTAGCAGTGGGATTCGCCTATAATAAAAATGAACCACATTTGATAAGCATTATTGGACTAAACTGGAAACATTCCAGTTCTATTTAGTTCACCCTACCAAACACGCTAGGATTTCATTGGAAAAGATAATGAGAGCAAAGTGTTGGCGACCGAACTTTACCCTTGCACTGTAATGGCACGGAACTTTTACACATTCTGGGGAGCGAAATGGCCAAAGGCCTACTGATGAATGGTATTGAGACTGGAACATTCCCAGTTACAATTAGGCATGTACAATCCATGCTATCACTCATGAGATTTTTCAGTGAATCGCAGCATTCTGCTGTTGGTGAAGATCCAGTGCCACTGCTTCCAGTCAAGTAACTAAAGCATGGAGTAAAGCTGCTTATCATTGAACTTGAACATGGTGTGTTAATTTGCCCATTTACTCTAAAATCTGAAAGTATTAACAGAGATAATATAAACACTACATTTAGACATGAATATGCCATTAAATTTTCCATGGATTTTGGTTCCTGGAAAAAAAAAATGGGGATAAAGCAAAAGCTTGTAAGTTGAAGAACTGATCGTCAAAATTTCAGATGTGGAGTATATGTACGGTAAGTTAGTGGTTTGCTAAATTTGAAAGAAAAACTGGTAGATTTGAGGTGGGTTTTTGGAGATCAACTACTTTAACCAACATTTTATTGAAGGGATTTGTGGTTTGTTATCTTCTGTTTTGACTTGAAAAGAATGATTTTCATGTTAGGAAGGAATAGTTATACTGGTTTTTTGGGTGGTTGTTACTTGATGAAACCTTAAGAGAACATAAAAATGGGTAAAATTGCAACGGCATCACTAGCTTATTAAATGTGTGTAAAACTGAAACCATTTTTTCTTGGTAGTTGGCCTCCTACCTCCGCTGACACCTTCAATCTACACACTTCTTTAACTATAATCAATCCCAAACTGCCATCCTAGGCAAGGCGGGGGAAGTGTTGGAGGAGAAGATCTGGGCAACCCAGTTGGGAATTAAGACTGATATTTCGATTTGTCTATATAATCTTTGTTCAAGATCAGCTCAAGGTTTATGGACAAGAGAAAAAATTCAACTATAATAAATTATTATAATCAAATTGAATTTCTGACTAAAACCCTCATATATTGTAGGAATCATATTTTCCAAGCTTTAATCACACCTAACAATCTTTATCTTTGTTCAAACCACAAATAGAAACATTAAAGCTAGGATTTCAGACTTACAATTGAGAAACTATAAACCAAATTTCAAAAGTTGGCCAACCAAACAAACCTATTTGTTTGTGTTTGTCTTCCACCCACACCCACCTCAACCCAAATGACTTATTTAATCCCTAGACCTGTTTTCCCTCTTCACTCAAGTTCAAATTCTCAAGAGATCAAGCAAATTTTTTCCATTCTGAAATTATATATTTCTTGTGCTTGACATATTTTTAAGTAAATGTCTTCCACAGTACGTAAAATATATCTAGTCATTGTTCTTGTAGTCACGCTTTGGATTGGTACCAAAGCTCAATCGGGCTGCACTAGGGCTCTTGTGGGCTTATCCCCGTGTCTCAACTATGTTAGTGGAAATTCATCGACTCCATCCTCGTCATGTTGCTCACAGCTTTCAAGTGTAGTTCAGTCGCAGCCGCAATGTCTATGCTCGTTGTTGAATGGAGGTGCTTCCTCATTAGGCATCACAATAAATCAAACTCTGGCCCTTGCATTACCCAATGTTTGCAATGTACAAACACCTCCACTTAGCCGGTGCAATGGTAATAATTTTACAATATGAAATTTTTTTCATACTCTATATAGTCTTATAGCATAACTAGTTTAGAATCTTTCCTTCTATGACTATTTGTAACCATATAATTAGGGTTTTTCTAGTAATTTTAGCTAGAATAGCTATAGAAGTTGCAGTTTTTCTTTCCAACTAACACATCGTATTCGACTGACTTCGATTTGCTTGTAAATACAGACGCAAATGGAGGAACAACTGTGGCTACCCCAGCTAGTTCTCCTGCCGAACCTCCAGAAGATTACTCTGATGAAGTGCCTGATTCAGATATTCCATCAGGTAACAATAAAAATTAATTCAAATACAAATCTCTCAGAGTCAAGTTTTCAGAAATTAATATAAAATCCCACTAGAGTAACCTCTTCAGTGAATCAAAAGATTTTTTTGCTCCAATAAAAACAACTTAGCAATTAAATGATTGTACAACAGCGAGCCTCAAAGTTGTTCCTAAAATTTATTGTCAAAAATCATTTCTCTGAGAGCGCGTTTGATACACACTAGTGGACTAGACTTGACAAGAGAATATAATGAACCAGATTTTAATTTCTATTAAGAACTGGAATTTATATAAATGCAGGAACAGGGTCGAAAACATATCCCAAAACTGACGGTTCATTTGTTGGAGGAAGCAACGTAAAAACGCCATTCAATTTTGTTGGCGTCCTTCTTTTCGTTACATCGTGTGCTTTGTCTGCCGCGAGATTTTGAAATTTTACAGCAGTTAACGCGGTTAAATTTATGCAACTTTTCTACTTGGAGAAAAGGCATAGTACTGATGTCATGAATATTTTATTCTTCTTTCTATACTCTCAAGTATGAACACTGTACCAGCTATAATCAATGTGGCGTCTTCGATAGGAGTCCAGGCTTTAGGAAATTCTTCTGTACTGTACCTTACGAGATTGTTTACGGAACACTGTCTATGTCATTATTTTAGCATTATTTGATCTCTTTGACGTCCTTCTTAACACGGCTTATGCAATATAAAAAAGTGTTGAATCTGATCTTGTAAATTCAGTCTCATTCTTAGATAGAGAACTCTGATTCAAGTTGCTTGATCAATAGCGCGCTAAGCATTGCATCTGGACATGAATAAGCCTCAAAATATTTTGAGTGAATTACCAAAATGGTCACTGAACTTTATAAAAGGTTTTTACGGGGTCATTGAACTTTAAAAATCATCCAATTTATCACTGAACTTTGCAAAATGTTTCCACAAGGTTACTGAACTTTAAAAATCACCTAATTCATTACTGAACTTTGCAAAATGTCTTCCAAAGGTCACTAAATTTAGTGATCCATGGGAAACATTTTGTAGAGTTCAATGACATCGTGGAAATCTTTTGCAGAGTTTAATGATATCGTGGAAACATTTTGAAAGTCCAGTTATGAATGAAGTGATCTTTAAAGTTCAATGATTCCGTGGAAACATTCTGCAAAGTTCAGTGATGAATTAGATGATTTTTAAAGTTCAGTGACCTCGTAAAAACTTTTTGCAAAGTTCAATGACCATTTGGGTAATTCATTCCAGATATTTCCCTTAATTTTCCATTAAAATTTCCAATATAAACAAAACCGAAAAAATTGTTACATGATCAGAGAAGGCTTGAAATGAAGAAGACAATTTATATAATAGTGAATGTATAGAAAGATTCATGTTACAAAGTAATCGTCTTCCTTTAACTGGGGTGGGATAAAGTTTTGTGTTGACCGTCAATGTAGAAGCCCCAAAAAAATAAAATAATAAATAAATAAATAAATTAGGCTCATATAATTTTTTTATATGATGATCTAGCACTATGAGTCTAGCCTATAGACTCGCTTTATGCTCGACATACATAAAAAATGAAAGCCAATACTAATTTAATATGCCTTAAATAAATATTTCTAAGCCAAATTTGCTCACACGTTATTTTCGAAGGGACCGAATTATAAATTTTAAAAATGAGAAATGAAAGAAAATTTGTAAATTTCTATTTGAGAATTAATGTTGATATTAAATAAATTATAAGGACCAAGAATAATATGTGTGTGTGTATCAAAACAATTTAAAATATTATAAGCTATAAAAGACACGAAACATTTTCATTAATTGGTGAATTATTAACACATTTAAACCCCCAAATATACACACACGTATATACTAAAAACTTTTAAAAAATGCCAAAGGTTATGGAAATGCTAATAACTTTGCATTAAATCGTCACATTAAATACATTGAAATAAACCATAAAAACCTTCATTTAATCATTACTAATTTGTGAATAATTACCAAAGGTTTCTTCAAATTTCATAGGATTAACTTTTCATTTTCTCCAAAGTAAGGGAAAGAAAAGATAGGCAAACTTTTTTAAAAGCATTAGTTGCAGTCAGAAAACAATATTCACGCCAAACTTCATTGATTTAAAAGCGTCAAACTAAAGTAGGTAGAGATATAAGTTGTTATTTTGTTTTCAAATTATGATTTTTCGTTAAAAGTATAAATGAATTGGTACCTTCGGGTATGATGCTTCGGTACTACTATGGTTTGAACAATCATTCTCCAACTCTAGGTGTTATGATAATTTTATAGAATTTTGCTTTTGTCGAAAATTCATCAACGTGCGATGATATGAATCTATTGTTCGAATTTTCTAATTTGATAACGAAATGCACCGATAATATCTATTGAATTTTGAACTCATTGGTTAATTCCCTTCCTACATGTTGATTTGATTTGTTTGGGGTATAGATGATAGTAGATGAAGATGCAACATACTATGGACAAGTGGGTGACTTAATGTTATTATTTGATTATGAACCGTCTACAAATTTTTTTTAAATAAATAGATTTCTGTGAACATCATTTGGGAGATTATTCTGAGAAGATTTTTTATGAATTAGTCATGTTTAAAAGTAGTTACATTTTATAGAAATTAATGTACAAGTTACAGTTTGTCACAAAAATGTGAGTGGTAAGATTTAGTGTTGCTATTTTTTTTAAAAAATTTCAGTTTCTGTCATTGACTTCAAAAATTCGTAATTCAATCGCTACTTGAAATTTTTGGACAAAACTATTGGGGTTTGATAGCCTCATGGGTTAATTACTGAATAAACTTGAAATCATGTATATTCGATGTTTGTAGAATTTTATATGTCACTTTAATTAATCCACATTGGTTTATCTTCCAAATAGAGTCGCTATGGGGTTTTGGAAAATATTTTAGTACCTTAATTGTTGCCGATGGAAGCCGATATTTGAATATGTTATATTATAAGAAGTTCCCTACTTTGCCTTAAATTTTCGTGCAGTTTCAAGATTGATAACTATGTAAACGAGTTTATTTTGATGCTTATCGTGCAAAAATGGATAACATATTATTTTCTTACCGCCTAAAGTGGTTCATGCATGGAAAACTTTCAAACCTTTTATTTATTTGGTAAATATATACTTGTCATTGTTCGCGTAATAAAGTAGACAAATGCATGGATTTGCTTGATACTTTCTTTCTTTTATAAATTCTGTTGGAATTATGTTAATATTATGTTATTATCCCAAAGAAGTTTTCTCATGAGAAATTCATTGGTAGTTTTTGTTAATGTAAATTGTATGTCAGAAAAAAATAATTCGTAAGTATTTTTTTTAATTTAATTTTTACTTTTTTTTTTTGCTAAAAGCACAGTTATTTAAATAAATTTCCAAGCCTAAAGTTAAGGTACAATTGTTGTGGTGACATTTCTGTCAATGCGGGTTTGAGTATTATAGTCAACTTATTGTTGTGTTCTTGCTCTAGTCAAGTTTGGGACTATCTAAAGCAAGAGGATAAAAAAGGAGGAAGGGATGAGATACAAAGATTATTAATGTCAAAAGGGGTTAGGCTCAGGCCTGCCCATTTGACACCTCTACTTAGACTATTTAGGAGTTTAGCACTAAGCTTCTATAAACCTAAAGAAAAAATCATATACACTTCGAGTAGAATATTTTAGAGGGTATGGTTATACAAAAATTAACATAATAGTTTTGATTGTAGACAATCCAATTGTATAGGATCTTCAATAGACGTAATAATAAATCAATTAGAGTAACAAAAAATGATTTCTGTAACCGACTCTAAATTTTTAAGAAATATTGCTTAATTAGTTCAAAATTTTCCCTTGACTTATATATTAATTTGCAAGAAAAGTGTGATTGAAACCAATCTATCATTACCTCAAATGGCCACTATTTTTACAGGGATACTATTTGTCATCTCCAGTATTTGATTATGTAGGTTACAAAGATCACAGAGATTGTGCTATTTTTAATTATACACATGCCTTTCTGGATTAAGTACTATGTTTCAATCAATAGTCTAGTTGATTAGAAGTTGGCTAACCAAATGGACCTGTTTGTTTCTGCCATTTTCTTCTTCTACTAAATGCCTCTTATTTAAACACCAAATCTTATTGTCCCTGCTCATACAACTTCAAACCCTCATCAGCACATAAAATCCAATTCCCACCAAAAATTCCAAGAAAATGGCTTCCAAGATGACCAAAATTATTCTAGTTCCTGTTTTTGTAGTCGTGTTTTTGGATGGAATTACAGCTCAATCAGGCTGTTCTAAGACACTGGTGGGCTTGTACCCGTGTCTTAACTATGTTAATGGCAATTCATTGACCCCATCTACATCGTGTTGCTTACAGCTTTCGAGTGTAGTTAAGTCACAGCCGCAGTGTCTTTGTCTGTTGCTTAATGGTGATGCCTCCTCTTATGGTGTCAATATAAATCAAACTCTCGCATTGGCTTTACCTGGTGCTTGCAGCGTGGAAACTCCTCCTGTTAGTCGGTGCAAGGGTAAGACAAATTATCGAACTTGTTCTGTCTCATAATAACATGGAAAATACTGAATTTTTTTACATCTTGAACATTCTGAACTTTTAAGGACTCGTGTATTTTTAACTTCGATATACTGTGCAAATACAGAAGCAAATGGACCCTCCACCCCAGAAGGTTCTCCGGCTGATTCCTCCAAAACACCAGAGAATCCGACCAAGCCATCAGTCATTCCATCAGGTATTGGTTAGTTCCACAGAATCGAGACAAATTTAATATTCGTTGCACATATTAGTTACATGGACATGAGCTTAATTGTCGAACCTTTTTATCTGCAGGGTCTAGAGTTGTTCCCTCAACAGATGGAACCTCTAATGGTGGAAGAAATCTCAAAGCACCATTTAGTCTGGCGGGCTTCTTAATCTTAGCCGCGTCCTGTGCTTTTTCTGCCACTGGATTTTGAGATTCAGCAGCATCAGATGGCTGTTATCCTGTCAAATTATTTTTCCATCGCAAATTCTTGGGTGTTATACATTGTACTAGTGTTAGTTCGTCATCGATATCATTATATGTTGTCCTAGTGAATACTTCATTCGGTGTAACAAAGTTTTATAATTGCTTATTCTGTATGTTTCACATATTAAGGATATGTTTGTTCCCATCCATTGACCTATTTTTCCTCAATTTTTGTCCAATTGTCCTTAGCAGTACTCAACATGCCTTTGGGTAACCAGAATTATTGAAACCATACTTGAAATTTCCAGAGCATAAAGCTAAGGTGAAAGTAATCATAATCTTTGCTAGAGTTTTCCAAAGGATTTAAACTTTACAAGGATGAGGTACGTACAAGGTATTCAACTCAAAGTGGAAGTCACTGCAATAGGAAAAATGATCTATTATGTGTACTATTGTGAACTCTCGAGAGAGTTGATGAGGATGCAATGCAAGTAGTGGTGTTTTGTTCTGCATCAAGAAAGGCGCTTTAACTATAAGTGGAATGAAAAATGCTACTCAACCACATTGTTTGACACAAAGGTTAACATACCTCTCACAGCCGAGGTGTGGATCCTGTGCGAATAAAATAATGCCGAACTCCCATGTGTGTGTGATGTGTCAACCCTTGTGTCAGCCAATGTGGTCATGTAGCACGGCCCAAGTGGAATAACCATCATTCGACTGCTCTTATCCTTCCTTATCAGGGATGGAGGGCTTCGCTGAAGCCTGATTGTTAAAAGCTTGGACCTTGGGGAGATCTAGAGTTGATAAGAATCTTTTAACTATTTCTTAAAAAATCCTTTAAAAAATTAAAATCACAAAAAAAATTTAAAATGGGCCCAATTAACCCAGGTTTGGTGGGGGATTAAAATCAAATTTTAGTAAATTTTGATAAATTTGATGAAGCGTGTGGTTGAAAAGTTGTCATATCCATGAAATATGTAACTAAAATTGATTGTTGACTTTGAATTAGGTCTGTGAGCCGATCTACTCCTAGCCAATTTCTACCAAGCTAGTCTAGGATCATAAGGCAAGTGACTCGGCTCAATCATTTTGACACCTCCAAGTGCAAGTATAAAGATAATTGTCTAGTTTTAAATAGCCTCAGGAAAATAAAATAAAGGAATTACATCTTACCTACTTGTTGAGGGATAATCTCACATGTATGATGAAATACAGACCATCATATAAATGTTTGAAATCCTCCTCTTAACAAGATTGACCTTTTAATATGGAACATTCAGGTCTTAATACTACCCACCACCTAGGTATTTAGAGACATTCAAATATCTCTAAATAGAATGCATAGCAATGAGATAGAAACAAAGATGATGCATAGGTTACATACTCTTAACGGTCAAAGCAAGGTGCAAAATTTTTGGAGTCAATTTATGTACATTGAGGATGTTATGTGATCAGTCAGCTACTTTCTACAAAAGTACTTAAACTTACCAACTATAATTGACATTAAAACTGAATTTGATTTTACCTATTCCTGTTAAGGACAATTATTAACTTTTCCCAGTCTAATGTTTCCACAAAAGTTGGCGAAATGAGCTGTGCTGTAGGTAGCAGCAACTAATTAAGAATAGGTAAATAAATTGATAGATAAAAGTAGGTAAATAACTTCTATTAAAGGATTTCTAGAGTGACCTGATAAACGTATATAATACCTACTATACCTCTGTATAAAAAAAATCATGGTCGAGAACACAAGTTAACAATATGATTTAGTTGAATAATACGTAAAACAAGAATTAGAAACAAGCAAAGCTAATACACACATCTTTAGTGATTCTCTCTGTATGTGAGAGCTAAATCAACTTGCACCTCGAAGTTTTCACTTTTGTTCTAGCACTTTTGGTAAGAAAATGATCCTTCTTTTAGCATTTTATTGTAATATGAATATTAGTTTTGAAGCAAGAAGATGTCGATGTCGGCTAGACAGTTGATGAGTTGGATTACCTACTTACCGTGTATATCCAACTGATGCATAACTAAACATATACTGATGCAAAACTAATTGAACAAATCTGATTACTTGAATGTGCCAGGTATACCAAAGGACTTGAGAACTATATTTATGTACCATATTTAGTTATCAGATTTCTTAATTTCATGAAAGTTGGCCAACCAAAATACCAAATGATGTTGTCTCTTCTGTTCAAATTCTCTTATAAATTCGCTATAATCTTCGACTTCCCAATTGTGGCACACAAAACTTTTCTAGTTTTAATAGTAATTTCGTCTTTTACTCGACATCCAGGCAATACCTTAAACATCACTTATGGCTGTTAAAGGAGTCGAGATTTGTCTGATCCTAGTCCTTTCGTTCATGCTTTTAGGTGGAGCCATGGCGCAGTCGAGCTCGAGCTGCACCAGCTCACTCATGACCCTCTCCTCGTGTTTAAGTTACGTTACTGGAAACTCGTCCACTCCATCATCATCCTGTTGCTCGTCTCTTGGTAACGTTGTTCAGTCACAGCCCCGGTGTCTTTGTACTTTACTAAATGGTTCTGGTTCGTCTTTTGGTTTAAATATAAACCAAACTCTTGCTCTGGCACTTCCTGGGGCATGTAGCGTTCGAACTCCTCCGGTCAGCCAGTGTAACGGTATAAATCCTCTAACCTTCTTTGTTTTTTCATTTGCAACTTTTTGAAACTCGATAACGAGCTTATAAAATGTTTTACTTAACAGCGGCCGCTAATGGACCAGCCATTTCACCTTCAACTTCGCCGATCAGCTCCCCTGCAGATGGTTCTGATGAACCAGCTAAGAGTCCTACCACGACCACCGTTCCCTCTGCTCCTCAAGGTATACATGAGATCTAAATTAAAATCACAATTACATTAACAAAGTGTTTTGAAGGTATTAATTTAAAATCAGCCAAAAATCCATCTTTGAAAACACAGATTATTTCTGAATGAACCTTGAAATATCCAAATTAGGAATTTAAGTATATATAAAGAATTTTTAGACAAAACTTAAGTAAATAAAATAAATGTGTTCCATAACATTGTTAAAAACTATATTTATTTAAACAAATGCGTCTCCTCTCTAACAGCCTAGGTTTTTAGATGAAGTGGTTTGACAAATATAAAGGTGCATTAAATTTCCTGATAATCTCTAGTGCACAACCTTAAAGAAGATTCAAAAAAATCGACGACAAAACTAAGAATGATGCTAATATCTTGATGAATCCATTGTATAGGAACAGGATCGAAGACCGGACCAAATACCAGTGGGAGCACTCCTGATGGAAATATCATCAAATCGCCAATTCATCTCGCGGCCATGGCCTTATTCGTTGCTGTGTGGGCTGCCACCGGCCGGAACTTTTAGGCTTCCTGTGGAGTTTTTATGCTTGTCACATTGTTAGTATACAGAGTTGTCACATTCTTCTCTGCCTGGTTTTTTTGTTTTGAATGCTTGTAACCTACTTATAAGTGTTTTTGTATTCACTTGTTCTCTATTGTTTTTTAGAGTTTGTATTGAAGGAAATTGATTTTACCTCTTTGTTTATGCATTACTTATATTGTCGATAACAACTTGGGCATTATCTTACAGCTGTGGCTCTATTTATATCAGTTCTATCTATTTGTAAATTGTTTGATTTTTTTAACAACTGCAACGAATTATTTTCGCCACTCTTGTTTATCGTTAAAAATAGAATAATACTATCTGCAGTCACTCACTGCGACAGTCGCCCTACGTGCCATACACATGGCATGTGGTTATTTGATACATTAATGAATAAAAAAACTACCACATTAATATATCAAATAATCACCTGTCATGTGTATGTCACGTAAGGCGACTACCGCAGTGAGCGACTGCAAATAACATTACTCTTAAAAATATAATGCAACTGTAACATCTTATATTAATTTTTAGGTTAGTCCTCCATGTGCCAAAAATATCAAACAGAGACAGCATTACTCCTATAAATAGACTAAATTATTCTCCATTATTATTATGACACAAAGACCAAGAATTGATCTCCATCCTAAGCTAATCGAGCAAAAATAAATTGGTCGCCCAATCTCGGGGTACTTTTCGCCATGGGTCGACTTATCTCTAAAAAAAGGTTGTTGGGTATGGATGTTCAAACTTGTGACTTATGTGAAATGATGATCTGACTCATGCAAACCTTAATAAAAAACTAAATTCATGAATGTTGATCGAGCGAGACATAATCTTTTTTATGAATTGTGTTGACATCTTCATAAGTAGTTCAAACTTAATTCGCGTTTCTTGACATCTTCATCATAAACACATCAAATCACTTAAATTAAAAGAAATTTAAAGACTAGTCAAACACCAATCAAATGCAAGGAAACTAGAACAATCTATAGTTTGGCTGATTTTGATTAGTTTACAATAGACTTTCCAACAAACAATCAACCATCTATTTTATTTTATCTTTAGACTTGAAAAAAACAATATTTAATAACACACGTTAATTATTAATTTGTATTTTATAGGAGTAATAGTTTGGTAGTGGTAAGAATATCACACCATTCATGCTGGATCCAGCTTCCAAAAGACCACCAAATGACAGAAGAAGTCCATTCCAAAATTCCCAATCAGGCCCAAATTCAGAAGCACGTGCAGATCACGTGACTGCGAGTTGTCCAAACAATCAAGCAGAGCATGGAATAATCCTCGCTCGTACCAATTCTATTCTATTCCGATTGTTGGGGGTAATTTCTTGTTCAATTTTCACACAGAATCAATCTTACCGAGCAATATTCCTATAATCTATAGATGTTTGTATATCTGTGCATGTATACGAAATGTGCGTGTAATACTTGAATAGTATTTGTTAGTTCTTGAATCCAAACGGAAAAACAAAGGCTCTGGGATATGGGCGTGTTATGTTTTTCCAAAATTTGTCATCTTTTTGGAGAATGTTTGAAACCCAGTTGAATTTTTGTTCTCCTCATCCTGTGTCCTTTGTTTTACAGGTATTTCTGATTTTGGAATCAGCATTGAATTTGATTTTTCCTGCGAATTTATTTCCAATCTATAAATCTTATGAATCTTTTAGTTGTTTAGTTTTGAGGTGAACCCATGCCTGGAATCATGAATTTGGTGCCCTTGTAATTTAATATTTTATATGGCAGAGTGAAATTTTCACTAGATGGGTGTTAGGGTATTTTTCTGGGGTTTTCCTGTTTTGATTAAAGATGTTGGGATGTGGGGATTTTGCATGTAGTGATGGATTTATAGTACCGGTGATGTGTTCTCACATATTGCCCCTTTTTGTTTTTGATCATTTTGATATAATTCAAATTGAGTTTCACTCTAATTTTTGTCATTTGACTAATAATTGTTGGATCAGCGACAAGTTATTTGCATAAACTCCTAGCGCCTCTAGAATTATACACTTAATGTCAATGGGAGTGCTTGTGTTGACAGTTATGATCATAATATATTTTGATTCTAGAAAATCAAATGGATGTAAATAGAGTTTTAGTTTGGGCGTAGTAATATAATATACAAGTTAAACTGAAGGAAATGATGCTGAGCAAGGATTGAACATGAATGGTGTGCTTCTGCGTGCATTATTTTGTTATTATGTGGTCTACTGAAATCAACATATTTCAAATTATTTTGTGTATCTTTAATGGATCCATATCTTTTCTTTGTTATCTATTTGGATTAGTAGTCGCTGTTATTGGATAATCAATCTATGGAGCGAATGATCCCCTTCATCTTTCTCAGTAGCAAATACTAACGTGTTCTTTTTTTCATGTTTCAAATACAAGTAGGTATTTGTAAAATGGAGTTCTAGTCTTTGTTGCACGGACTTTCCTTTCTAGAGAAAGTACCTGTGTTGTGCCAATATGAAAGAGATTAGGGATCGGATCCTTTAGATCATGAGATAATCCTTTGTATCATATTTTTTATTTTGGTATTGGATTTAAAATGATTTCTAATTTGTATCTCACATTTCTAGACTTGAAATGAAAACCAAACAAAGTATTACAATTTCAATTTAATTTGTTTAAAATTTACAATCAAACTTTATATATGTCTGTGCTTGTTAAATGTTGTATAGGAAGGATAAGTTGTTCATTCAATAAAATATTAAATTATGAAAAGGATGAGATATTATGCTTATATAGAATCTTCTGTTATTGTTGAGCTGCATTTGCACGAACCTTTATTCTGGAGTTTCTACATTGTTAACATTTAACACTGATGACCTTATATGTAAATTTTCAGCTGAATTGCCATTTATGTCCTATTGCCTTGTTTCTTAGGTTAGTTATACTTAGCCTATGTTTGGCTCTCATTTTTTCATAACTCATTTTCAACCACACATTCTCCTATTAAATAATTTTACACGTAAACTCAAAAATTTTCCTTACTTTACGAAACACTATTCTAAAATGCATTTTAGTCCAAAATTGGGGCTCAAACAAGGGTTTATTAAGGTGTTATGCTTGAAATGACTGAAATGTGTTGTTCTTGATTGGTTGATAGGATTTGTGAAACCTTATTCATTTGCAGCACATTTTTTGGTCTCCCTTATTCTATTCATGAATGCACAAGCATGTAATGACATAGTAATTAAAAGTTCAATGAGATGCATGCCTGTAACCGAAGTGCAGTGAGGTGCGTCGTTGGTGCATTATAGTGCTTAGCATAATACTTCATTAGATATTCTGGCTTTTGATTCCTTTCCAACTAAATCACTCATTTTACTTTAGGTTGTTATTTGGAGTGATATTTCTGCAGTTCAAATTGAATGCCTGATAGAATAATACAATACCTTGATCTGAAACTGCTTAGGTGCTGATTTTCTCAAAATAGTGATGAAATATGAACTTGCATTGTCAAAAATTTATAATTTCTTCAATTTCTGAATTCTGCAGAATATATTATGCACATGCCAAGATCTTTCGCTTAGAATATAACGAGTGCCTTTATGAAGCATGGGGGTGAAGGACATTAGTGCCTTGATAGGCTTTGCACAGTTAATTTCTCTCGATGTAGAGTGCATTTACCAATCATTCTTGATTGTAAGTTGTAAAATGTTAGGCATGTTATCTCCTTATGATAGAGAATTAAGTGGTATAGGTATCTATGGTGACCATAAATCACATTTCATAATGTTACACCTTGATTAAGGCTTTTATTGGCATTGTTAGAGCTGTTGTGTTTAGCGAAGTAACTGATTTTTTATTTCCATCAGACATGGCATGCTAAAACCTTTTATGTTCCGATTTGCTCAGAGTCAAAAACTGATCCTAATTTGGATGTCTGGATAAGATGACGCTCTCAGAATGCTGACATATCTCGCCTTTAGGGTACTTTTTTTTCCCTAATCAGGCTGTTGAAATGCTCTAGTTGAAGAGACTTTTATATGAACAGATCATCTCTTATATATTGATTTTTACTTATTTATTTATGTGGTGTTTTAGATAGTACGTTTGGAAGCTGTTTTCACCAACCAACAAATCACAATCGCTTAAGAAAGAAATAATCTATATTCAAGGTATTGCATGGTTATGTCTGGACTTATTGAAGGCCTTCCTGATGCTGTCGCCCTCAGGTGCCTTGCACGGGTTCCCTTCCATCTTCATCCAAAGTTAGAACTTGTTTCGCGTTCCTGGCGAGCTGCCATTCGGAGCACTGAACTCTTTAAAGCCCGTCAAGAGGTGAACTCAACTGAGGAATTTATATGTCTTTGCTCATATGACCCTGACAATCTATGGCAGCTTTATGATCCTGCGTGTGACCTTTGGATTACTCTCCCAGTTCTTCCTTCAAACATCAGGCACCTTGCCCACTTTGGGGCTGTCTTTGTTGGCGGAAAGCTTTTTGTGCTGGGTGGTGGAAGTGATGCTGTGGATCCTTTGACCGGTGACCAGGATGGAAGTTTTGCTACTGATGCGGTATGGTCATACGACCCAGTATCTCGGCAGTGGGCCCTACGCGCATCTATGATTGTGCCTCGTGCAATGTTCGCATGCTGTGTGATGGATGGGAAAATAATCGTGGCAGGTGGTTTTACTAACTGCAGGAAGTCTATCTCTAAAGCTGAAGTCTACGATCCTGACAAGGATGTCTGGGTTTCAATACCCGATCTTCACCGCACTCACAATTCTGCATGTACAGGAGTGGTTATTGGGGGTAAGGTTCATGTCTTGCACAAGGGATTGTCAACTGTGCAAGTTTTGGACAGTATTAAGCTGGGTTGGACTGTTCATGACTATGGGTGGCTTCAGGGTCCAATGGCAGTCGTTAAGGGGAAGCTATATGTAATGAGTCATGGCCAAATTTACAAGCAGGAGAGGGAATTTAGCAAGTTAGTAGTTTCAGCATCTGAGTTTCGTCGCAAGATTGGTTTCGGGATGATAGGGCTGGGAGATGATATTTATATAATTGGAGGAGTTGTAGGGCCTGACAGGATGTATTGGGATATCAAGGTGACGAATGATGTTGATGTTCTGTCGCTTGGAAATGAAAGACCGGTTTGGCATCAGGCAGCTCCTATGACACGGTGCATGGGAACTGTCCTCGGATGTACACAGCTGAAGATTTAGGTCTTCGACTCGTGGGATGGAAGGTATGCACAGTGCTTGAAATAAAGAAGAGAACCCGCCCTTTTGGTGGCCTCACTTTGCATGTATGCCATAAATTGCTGTCCTTCGTTTAGAGTTTGGATAAACCTTTTTATGGTTGTCCAATACCTTTGAAAGAGGCATCACACTGCTGTTACTTGCAGAAAACAATGTATTAGAACGAAGTAACCTTTTAATGTTCTCGTTTATTCGAGGTTCGTTTTGTTTCTGTAATTGTACCCAGAATTATTTGTTCTGTATTTGATTTTTCCGCTTTTGAGCTTTCTTTATGGAACTCATGGATGGCTATTATATTCTCTTGTGCACGGTGCTCAAAATCGTATAAGGTCATAAGATTTCATTGATGGTTTTATTGCATGTTTGAATATCAAGTTTAGTTGGTTTTGGGTTCTTTAGAAATGACTGTCTGGATAGTATTGTTAATATTACTACATTTTTCATCTTGTTCTAGACAATTCATCTTCTTTCCTTCCAATAGGATGAAATGGTTTAATCACGTTGTGTCGTTCATATTTTTTTCTTAAATTTAATCTGTTGACCTCGAAAATTGGTCCTTCCACGTGGCCAACTGAAAGCTACTCCACGACTCAAAATAGTGATGAAATATGAACTTGCATTGTCAAAAATTTATAATTTCTTCAATTTCTGAATTCTGCAGAATATATTATGCACATGCCAAGATCTTTCGCTTAGAATATAACGAGTGCCTTTATGAAGCATGGGGGTGAAGGACATTAGTGCCTTGATAGGCTTTGCACAGTTAATTTCTCTCGATGTAGAGTGCATTTACCAATCATTCTTGATTGTAAGTTGTAAAATGTTAGGCATGTTATCTCCTTATGATAGAGAATTAAGTGGTATAGGTATCTATGGTGACCATAAATCACATTTCATAATGTTACACCTTGATTAAGGCTTTTATTGGCATTGTTAGAGCTGTTGTGTTTAGCGAAGTAACTGATTTTTTATTTCCATCAGACATGGCATGCTAAAACCTTTTATGTTCCGATTTGCTCAGAGTCAAAAACTGATCCTAATTTGGATGTCTGGATAAGATGACGCTCTCAGAATGCTGACATATCTCGCCTTTAGGGTACTTTTTTTTCCCTAATCAGGCTGTTGAAATGCTCTAGTCGAAGAGACTTTTATATGAACAGATCATCTCTTATATATTGATTTTTACTTATTTATTTATGTGGTGTTTTAGATAGTACGTTTGGAAGCTGTTTTCACCAACCAACAAATCACAATCGCTTAAGAAAGAAAAAATCTATATTCAAGGTATTGCATGGTTATGTCTGGACTTATTGAAGGCCTTCCTGATGCTGTCGCCCTCAGGTGCCTTGCACGGGTTCCCTTCCATCTTCATCCAAAGTTAGAACTTGTTTCGCGTTCCTGGCGAGCTGCCATTCGGAGCACTGAACTCTTTAAAGCCCGTCAAGAGGTGAACTCAACTGAGGAATTTATATGTCTTTGCTCATATGACCCTGACAATCTATGGCAGCTTTATGATCCTGCGTGTGACCTTTGGATTACTCTCCCAGTTCTTCCTTCAAACATCAGGCACCTTGCCCACTTTGGGGCTGTCTTTGTTGGCGGAAAGCTTTTTGTGCTGGGTGGTGGAAGTGATGCTGTGGATCCTTTGACCGGTGACCAGGATGGAAGTTTTGCTACTGATGCGGTATGGTCATACGACCCAGTATCTCGGCAGTGGGCCCTACGCGCATCTATGATTGTGCCTCGTGCAATGTTCGCATGCTGTGTGATGGATGGGAAAATAATCGTGGCAGGTGGTTTTACTAACTGCAGGAAGTCTATCTCTAAAGCTGAAGTCTACGATCCTGACAAGGATGTCTGGGTTTCAATACCCGATCTTCACCGCACTCACAATTCTGCATGTACAGGAGTGGTTATTGGGGGTAAGGTTCATGTCTTGCACAAGGGATTGTCAACTGTGCAAGTTTTGGACAGTATTAAGCTGGGTTGGACTGTTCATGACTATGGGTGGCTTCAGGGTCCAATGGCAGTCGTTAAGGGGAAGCTATATGTAATGAGTCATGGCCAAATTTACAAGCAGGAGAGGGAATTTAGCAAGTTAGTAGTTTCAGCATCTGAGTTTCGTCGCAAGATTGGTTTCGGGATGATAGGGCTGGGAGATGATATTTATATAATTGGAGGAGTTGTAGGGCCTGACAGGATGTATTGGGATATCAAGGTGACGAATGATGTTGATGTTCTGTCGCTTGGAAATGAAAGACCGGTTTGGCATCAGGCAGCTCCTATGACACGGTGCATGGGAACTGTCCTCGGATGTACACAGCTGAAGATTTAGGTCTTCGACTCGTGGGATGGAAGGTATGCACAGTGCTTGAAATAAAGAAGAGAACCCGCCCTTTTGGTGGCCTCACTTTGCATGTATGCCATAAATTGCTGTCCTTCGTTTAGAGTTTGGATAAACCTTTTTATGGTTGTCCAATACCTTTGAAAGAGGCATCACACTGCTGTTACTTGCAGAAAACAATGTATTAGAACGAAGTAACCTTTTAATGTTCTCGTTTATTCGAGGTTCGTTTTGTTTCTGTAATTGTACCCAGAATTATTTGTTCTGTATTTGATTTTTCCGCTTTTGAGCTTTCTTTATGGAACTCATGGATGGCTATTATATTCTCTTGTGCACGGTGCTCAAAATCGTATAAGGTCATAAGATTTCATTGATGGTTTTATTGCATGTTTGAATATCAAGTTTAGTTGGTTTTGGGTTCTTTAGAAATGACTGTCTGGATAGTATTGTTAATATTACTACATTTTTCATCTTGTTCCAGACAATTCATCTTCTTTCCTTCCAATAGGATGAAATGGTTTAATCACGTTGTGTCGTTCATATTTTTTTCTTAAATTTAATCTGTTGACCTGGAAAATTGGTCCTTCTACGTGGCCAACTGAAAGCTACTCCACGTGTTCCTCCCTGCGCACAATCAGCGAATAGTCAGACGCACACAATCGGAACCAGCGGGGGTGGTGATGGCCGTATACACTCCGACGGTCAAGTCAGGTTTAAGTGGTCGGAACAGTACCCAGGGACTATGCAAATCAATAATAAAGGGGGAGGAGAAAATAAATAAGCTTGCTATGGAGTGCTATGTAGTAAGAGTTTCATTACCTTTGCCTCTTGCCAAACCTTGGGTATTTATAGGTGGTGTGAACGATTTGGATGTGGGACGCGTGTATACATCTAGCGGTATGAGGTGTCCGCTCATAGGCGTCAATCAGCTGCGTCTGTAGAGTGGGCGGACAGTTTGTTTCTTCTGAGTTGAATTGACATAAAGTTGATAAATCATATCAACTAGCCTCATGGAGACGTTAAATCAATTTAAACCTTAGGTGCAGGAAGGATCTTGGAACAAATCTCTTTCTGAAATTGGCAGCGGATCTTCTAACCGGGGTCCACTCTCGACCTCGGGGGCGAGGTGCTTCGGCAGGTCAGTAATAGGAATCGCTTGTATCACTTCAGAAACACTTCGGACGGGTCTTTATTAGGTTGGAATATGTGGTGCTGCGCGTTCCAAGGCGTATAAGATCGGAGCGTAACAGTGGTCCCCCAAATCCAGGTATGAATATTTATATCATGCGTGGACTTGCTTTCTTGACTGGACCGCGAGTCGCAGGAGTTTTGGAGGTTGATATGTTGCAGTAATCGAGGTTATGATCCCAGGCTGACGTGCCAAAGTTTCGTTACTGTGCGTAGCAAACGAGGCGGTCAACCAGCGTGGAACTTCGCGTGAGGTGCGTATAAACCTTCGTGAATATGGTGCACTGACTCCACAGACCGACGCGTTGGGGATGGCTGAAACTTTGTAAAGCATGGGAGGGAACGTAGCGTCGGAGGCGATGACCCAAAGGGGGCCTTCGCGTCAGGTGCGTCCAAGCTTTGTAAAGTTGAGGGAGGAGCTCATTTGCACCGGTGCCCTGACCCACAAGGCCGGCGTGTTGGGAGATGGCTGAAACTTTGTAAAGCATGGGAGGGAACGCAGCGTCGGAGGTGATGACCCAAAGGGGCCTTCGCGTCAGGTGCGTCCAAACTTTGTGAAGTTGAGGGAGAAGCTCATCTGCACCGGTGCGCTGACCCACAAGGCCGACGCATTGGGAGATGGCTGAAACTTTGTAAAGCATGGGAGGGAACGCAGCGTCGGAGGCGATGACCCAAAGGGGCCTTCGCGTCAGGTGCGTCCAAGCTTTGTAAAGTTGATGGAGGAGCTCATCTGCACCGGTGCGCTGACCCACAAGGCCGACGCGTTGGGAGATGGCCGAAACTTTGTAAAGCATGGGAGGGAACGCAGCGTCGGAGGCGATGACCCAAAGGGGCCTTCGCGTCAGGTACGTCCAAGCTTTGTAAAGTTGAGTGAGGAGCTCGATCCTAGGCGATTCAAACGTCAAATGATTTAACAACTATTGCGTGTTTTCAAGGTGATAGTTGGGTGCCATGCCCATTCTCCTAAAAAGCTGCTGCGGCTACTAATTATTGACGGCTGGTTGTAACCGAGGTGACGCGTTTTAAGCAAGCGTGAAAGTCACAGTGACATTTTGGGCGTAGATCCAATCTGGCGTTTCATTTCAACGGCCTAGATTGAAGATGCGATGAACGGCCTAGATTGATCGCATTTGAATTCGACGGTGGAGATCAGATTTGTCTTTCTATAAAAGGAGGACTTTGAGGTTTTCTCAAGCTTTCCATCCTTGCGAAACAAACAGTATATTTTGCTCCCAAGTCATTGGCGATTTCCGGCGTTTTGTAAGCAATTTCGACGAGAAAATTAGACTTCCGGCGACCTTACACCATTTCCGGCTAGGAAAACCTCCAAACTCGTAAGTTTCAGTACCTATTTAGGCTTTTAAATTTTGAAAGAATGGCCTCAGAAGGGAGTTCTGGTTCGGGGAGGGGTTTCAAACTGGCGAGGATGGATGAGCCCATTGTGGCGAGCTCCTCAGAAATAGTCGAGGCAATAATGGGGGGAAAAATATATGGAAACGACCAGATAGTCCAGCAGATACTTCTGTGCATTGGGGGGCATCGGACTATCCATCAAAATTAAGAGAGGCCGACCTGGGGAGATTTAGGACAGAGTCTAGGATCCCTGATAGCATAGATTTGATCATCCCCGGGCCGGAAGAGAGAGCCTGCTACCCTAGGCCGGGCTGTGTGGCCATTAGTGAGGCGATGTTTAGGGCCGGACTTAGGCTGCCCGTTCACCCATTCTTTAGGATGGTGCTTAGGTCCTATGGGCTAGCCCCGACGCAGCTC